TGGACAATGAAAACAGACATTCGGGGGGGAGGGGGGAAGAAGAACGAACTGGGGAGGAGGGTAAAGAAAACAGTGCAACAATGAATGAATGAGAACCCAAAATCTCTGTAAATGTTCATTAAAACTAATAAAATTTAATAATAATTTTTTAAAAAGTAGAATAAAAAAGGGGGAAAGAAAGCCTAAGAATAATGTGGGATACCATCAAGAGGAATAACATGTGCATAACAGGAATCCTAGAACATGAAGAAGCAAGTAAATGCACCAAGAAAGTTGTGAAGGAATTAACTAGAAGAACATTTTCCAGGCATAATTAAGAGTCAAAGAATATATATACAAGAAACTGAGTGAACTGCATATAGAATAGACCCCAAAAGAGAAACACCAAAGTATAACACAATCAAATTTGCCAGAATCAAAGATAAGGAGAGAATTCTGAAAGCAGTTAGGGAGTAACAAAGAATAACCTATAATGAAGAGCAAATAAGATTAAGTGTGGATTTCTCAGCAGAAACCATGTGAGCAAGAGGAAAGTGGAATGGCATATATATGAAACTCTCAAAGAATATAAGTATCAATCAAGGATACTATATACCCAGCAAAATATGTTTATCACATTTAGCAGTAAAATGAAAGAGAGTTTGTAAAAACAAGACCAGCATTGCAGAAAACACTGAGGGAAGTTCTTCTTACAGAGATGCCACAGAAAGCAGGAATTGACTAAATAGCAACCACACAAAAAAGAACTCAACAATATGGTAGAAATAAAATTTTGTCTCTCAGTAATTATATTGAATGTGAATGATTTAAATGCACCAGTGAGGAGAAAAGAGTAGCAGAATGGATAAAAAAAAGAAAAGAAAAAAAAAGATAAAAAACCCATCACTGAACCATTCACTGAAAAGTGAAGATAAAGAACACTAAAAAGAAAAGGGTAGAAAAAAATATACCAAGCAAATGGCAACCAGAAAAAAATGGTAGTAGTGATATTAATCTCTGATAAAATAGACTTCAGTATAAAAACCATCACAAAGGATAAGAAAGGTCACTATATAATGCTTAAAAGATCAATAGAACAAGAGGACATAACCACAGTATATATCTATGTATCTAATGATTGAGCTACAAACTATACCAAGCAACTGAAAAAAGAAATAAACAATACCACAATAGCAGTAGGAGACTGTAATATGCTGCTCTCAAGAAAAGATAAAACTACCAGAAAGAAATTAAACAAAGATGCTGAAGAACTAAATCACACAACCAGCCAACTCAATCTCACAGATATATACAGGATAAGGCATACCAAAAAAGTACAGTATAACTTCTTTGCAAATGTGCATGGAACATTCTCCAAAATCTATTATATCTGAGGTCACAAAACAAGCATCAATTAATTAAAAAACATAGAAATAATACAAAGCAACTCTTCAGACCACAAGGCTACAAAAGTAGAAATTACTAACAAGAGGATAAAGGAAAAAAAAAACAACCCGCACATTTGGAAGCTAGACAACACCCTGCTTGAATGTGAGTGGGTAATTGAAAAAATAAAAAATGAAATTAAAAAGTTTCCTGAAACAAATGACAATGAAAACACAACTTATCTAAAGCAGTAATGAGAAGTCAATTTCTAGAAATAAGCAAACACATTACAAGGGAAGAAAAAAATTACAATTGATTCTTTAATCTGACATTTCCAACAAGTAAAAAAAGAACACCAAGAAAACCTGATACCCTTAAAAACATAAAATTAAAAA